TCTACAAAATAATAAACTATACTATTTAGAAAAAAATTTATTTCTCTTATAATTTTATAAAAAATAACAGGGGAATATTTACATTTCTTGATCTATTAAACAAAACGATAAATTATCTCGACGAATGACACCATGTTCTAGTACGGAAGCTAGCTTTACATTTTTGTTGGTGGTTTCATGGGTTTCATATCAATTTTTTGTAATTGTAGTTTACACGTACATATACCTCTTAACACTTGTTTGCTTTATTTATTTCATCTAAGTAGACAATTGGACGGCCCTCTGCTCGATAACTTTTTAAACGAATCAGATAGTCTAAACGTAGCTTTTGAATATCAAACCTTTCCATTAATATTTTTCTGTTTGTTTTTGTTTTCCGCCAACGAAATCCTAGAGACTTTATTGTTTTTCTTAAACTTTCATAGCTTCCTTTGTACCCTGTAGCTTCTCTAAATTTAGTCAGAATTGTTTTTAATGTTGGAACAATATTTTCCGAGATTAACATGAACAGAATAATTCTTTTTAAAATACCTTTGTCAGCTTCGTCTATATCATTAACTGTTTTTGGTTTTTTAATGGTTTTTCTTGGTGATGAAAATTCCGATATCTCACGGTTATCGATTCTTTTTTTTTTCTCTCCAGAAATGCGGACGACAGTGTTTTTAGATACTCCTGTGGCTGCAGCAACACGATCATTTACATTTTTAAATGGTATTGAAGGTGAATTAAAGTTTCCTTCTCTTCTCATAAACTCTATAACATTGGCTATTATTTCGCGAGATTGACTGTTAATCACGCGGCCTGTTAATTTGCTATTAAACTCCATACTTAGGTTCTATTAAACTGTAATGAGCAAAAAACACAAACGAAAATAAAAGAAATGTTTTAGCGAAATTTACATCTGACATTTACGTCTGAATAAAATAGTAAAATACTTGATGCGCAGAGTGTACTTTCATTGCGTAAATCCGTCGGCCCCGCCAACCGATGCCTCTCAGTAGTGCTTTCTCTGTCTAGCCGTCGAAAGCCTCTAGAAATTTGATGAACTGTAAAAAGTATTTAAATAAGGGCGATTTCGGTTTCAAGTCATTCCGAATTTCTAGGCCTCTTAACTTTGACGTTATTGCAAGCCATCAATGCTTGTAAATAGTATGAAGACTAGAGATAAGGAGGCGAATCGGCTTGCTCAAAATACGGTCCCAAAAAGCACACGTCAATTGAGCTTTTATAATTAAACGCATGGGCGCTGGTACGGTTTACGTAGTTCAAAATACATGGCTTCTTATGGGAATTATACATATTTTTGTCAAAATAATAAAAATAAACTTGTTTATAGCTAAATAAAGCACAGAACATACGGTTGTATTTATTTCTAAATAAGTCTTACATATTTTAATTGATACATTATTTACTATTTATTCCTATTTAAGTAAAATGCAAATTATTGATGATAAGTGTTGAAATTTGATGGGTAGGGCTAATTATTTTTTAATTAAAGCTAAATAGGGCTGAGGGCATACTAAGACACGGTTTAAATGAAAATATTTAGTTAGGGATTTTACAAAATTTTATGAAAATAATAAAAATCAAATTGTTTATTTCTAACTAAAGTACAGAAAATACTGTTGATTTTAATTATTGTAAATAAGTCTTTGTTTTAATTGCTAACTAAAGTACAGACAATACTGTTGGTGTTAATTATAAATGAGTCTTTATGTTAAACATTATTTACTATTCATTATTTAATTTTATCTAAATAAAATGAAAATTAGGTATGACCAAATTTGAAAAGGTTTGTTAAATGGTTAAATTTGGTAAGTACAGTTTTGTGGTAATTTTGTATTCGACAACTACAATTTCATCATCCTGGTGAATAGTTTCTTCAGCAATAGGTTCTAGTATTTTCTGCTTCGTTCTTTAATAGTATTTTTTTCTTTTTTTTTATTGTAACAAATTCAGTTCGGTTCAATGGTGGTTTTCGTCTTTTCCTAATACTGGACAAGTATGAAGAGAGATTCGGGAATATACATGGTATTGCTTCGTTCTTTAATCTCGGCCTTTCCCTTTTTATTTTGTTAACAATATCATTAGTTAAAATAGTCTCATCAAATTTTAAAATATCATCTTCTAAAAAGTGTACCTCGCAAACATAACTAGACAGTACTTTATCAGCCCTAGGAATCACATGCTGCCATTGTTCTAAACGTTTAGGATCCTATAAAAAAATATTTGCAATGACCAAATTGGAGTTCAATAAAGAAAAATAACAGTAGTAACTCTTCATCTAATATCAAAAAACATAAAAAAACAAATTTTCTTTTCTAGCAAGTTAAATTTAATGTGTAATTATTGTTGTTTGTAAGTCAGGATTTATGACTTTATTATTTTTTATTATAGAATTTTGTAATTAAATAAACTACACTCCGTAAGATACGGGTTGTTACTATTTTACAATAAATATATATTATTTAGAAATAAATACATTATTTTACTTACACTAGGAGCTTTAAAAAGACTTGGATTTTTATCTCCTTGTGTTTTCTTTAATTTTATATCGGATTTATATCCCGTTTTTCAACCCGGAACGAAGCAAATCCTTCTTTGCCGTTTTTTGTTACTCATTGTTACTTGTAGTCAGGTTCTTTATTTCAGCTTATTTTTATTCTTTTCACTAAATTTTACAATCACTTTAATTCCTATTGACTTACATAGAAAATAGACGTCGTTATTTTGCCACCCGCCAACTACAGTAGTTTTTTGGAACTCCATAAAAATAGGGACGGAAATTTGAAATTTGACCAAGTCCGATTCGCCTCCTTATCTCTAGTCTTCATAGTAAATAGGTATCCTGCTCATTTTTGGTTGTCAACAGTCAAAATCTTTAAAGAATCTCTTGTCTGTCACCCTCAAAACATCGGTTATAACACTTTTAACTTACACCTGTTTTTTCGCTGAAACTACAACACATTCTTCACCATTTATTCCAGCTATTTTTATTATTTAGCACTTATATAACTTTCTGTTTCCTTTTTTATTTATTAAAATAGTCGGAACACTATTTGAATCACTTTCGGTAGTTTATGCCATGGTTTTAAATAATTTACAGCAGTATACTGCGTTTAGAAAGAGCACATGTCAATGACTTGTGTTGTTTCTAAATGCAATTAGATATTAGAGAGTTGAAGTGATGCTATGAACGTAAACGTATACGTGAAAACTGACATCTGCGCATGCGTATTTAAATATCCTTCACGTCTACGTAAATACGTAAGCTTACGGGCTCTGGCGTATGTACGTAACGCAAACAAAATAACCTCTTTTTAATTGGGAAAGAACACATACTTTGATTACTATACGGTGCAAGATAGAGGTCCGACACGCCCAAGATAGGGCGCGGCCATTTTGATTCCTATGCCACAGTTTATAGCTAAAGAATCAGATCGCTTACTCTGCGTCGGCACTTTTGATCTCAATGTTCCAGTTTATACACTGCGCAACTCGGATAATACAATATATGACAACCGCCTATAATAAAACAGCAGTCTTCTGCGTATCCTGAATTTGTATCCCTGGACTGGATGTTATTTTGGAACTTTCAACTGGTCCGAGTGAGCTAACTGATTCTTTAGCAATAAACTGTGAATCCAAAAATAATATTCACTGACACTGACAGCAGCAAGCAAAATATCAGGTGGGTTGTCGGTTTAGTCGTTTTAACTGTCACATTAAAACAAGAAAACCGACAATTCCGAAGCAGAAGCGGATGATTAAAACGCACCTATTAAAAATATTGCGCCAAGATGTAGGCAACACGTAATAAAGGATCAAAATGGCGGAGTTTTCTATCTCCTTTTAAAAGGCACCCAGAAAGCTGCGCAGTGCGACCATTCTCCGTATAGTAAAAGAAAATCAAAGTATGTGGGAAAGAAGAAATCCTAATATTAGTTGTCATTATCTGTCATGGTACGTAAATGTCACGATGCGTTTAACACACATACTTTGATTTTCTTTTACTATACGGAGAATGGTCGCACTGCGCAGCTTTCTGAGTGCCTTTTAAAAGGAGATACAAAACTCCGCCATTTTAAACCCTTATTACGTGTTGCCTACATCTTGGCGCAATATTTTTAATAGGTTCGTTTTAATCATCCGCTTCTGCTTCGGAATTGTCGGTTTTCTTGTTTTAATCTGACAGGTTAAAACGACTAAACCGACAATTCCGGAAGCAGAAGCGGATGATTAAAACGCACCTGATATTTTGCTTGCTGCTGTCAGTGTCAGTGAATATTATTTTTGAAGTCACAGTTTATTGCTAAAGAATCAGTTAGCTCACTCGGACCAGTTGAAAGTTCCAAAATAACATCCACTCCAGGGATACAAATTCAGGATACGCAGAAGACTGCTGTTTTATTATAGGCGGTTGTCATATATTGTATTATCCGAGTTGCACAGTGTATAAACTGAAACATTGAGATCCAAAGTGCCGACGCAGAGTGAGCGATCTGATTCTTTAGCTGTAAACTGTGTCACAGGGTTCAAAATGGCCGCGCCCTATGTTGGGCGTGTCGGACCTCTCTCTTGCCTCGTATAGTAATCAAAGTATGTGGTTTAACAACTTCAACTCATATTTTGGACTTCAACGTAAACATTTTTCTGCGTTGACATTCACTTTTACGTTAACGTACTGGAAAGACTTCATAAGTCATACGAATGTATATCGGGCAAGTCATCTTACTGCGTGGATAAATGTGTTTACCTTTAAATATTGTATTTTTGTAATAAAAATAAAATGGCCAAAAATGTGTCGTTTCTCAAATGACCGATTCAAATGTGCAATTATTATTGTTAAAAAATACAAAAACCTTTAGGTCATATTGAACTCAATATCCATATAACTTCTACTTTGTAAAAATGCTACTCTGTGAGTAAAAATTAAAACTAAAGCTTTCTATATTTTTTTTATGTAACTAAACTTATTAAACTAATTTTATTTTTTCAAGTTCTGTTTAAAGGCATTCTCACAATCTAATGACTTGACATCTCACCAAAGGATCCATACTGGAGAAAAACCATTTATCTGCGACGAATGTGGACAGGCTTTCAGACAAAGTTCAGCCTTAAAGACGCACAAGAAGACCCACATTGAGAAACGTGTCTCCCAGATTAAAATCGAGAAAAATACTTGCATAGTGGAGGCGAAATCTATTTTTTTAAAAGGAACTTTTAACACAGAATTTTTACCCGGTTTTTAATAATTACAGATGTTACAGATCAATCTTAAGTCACAAGTAAAGAGATCCTGTTTAACGATGAGCATCTTCGTATTAAAAAAACTGTGATGCCCTCGCTTTTTCGGTTCACGACGCTCTACAACGCATGTCTAGTAATTACACTTTTCTATGAATAAGAAAAGTTCGATAAAAATTATTGAGGTCCTCTCTAGGTAAAGAACATATCGACAAAAAGGCTCATTCATGTATCTGAAATTGATTTTTGGATTTAGCATAGTTAATATGTGATCTAATAAAAAACAGGATTCGTTCAATATTAATTGAAAACAAAATTGAACTTGCACAACAATAAATGGATAAAAAGAAAATCACATTTTTAAATCTTCTATGACGCTTACTCCCATTGTTACTCCTTTTATCATTATAAAAGCAATCTAATTTTTCTTTTATTTACTGATAAATTTTATAATTTTTTTGCTGAGAGGAAGTTAGCAAAAAAGTATTGCGTTGTAGATCTTTTAGCAGAGGAATGTGACCATACAATTTTAAGGCTGCAAGTTTAGCATTGCAATTGAGTTGGTTTTGGTCTGAAGCAAAACTTTATTACGATGTAGAGTAGATATCTTGTAGAGAGTAGATTTTCTACTCCAGACGATTTAATACACGACTGAAGAAGTCCTTTAAGGCCCTTCTTCACTTTTAGGCCAATGCATTGGCAAATAAGTACTAGCCAATGCTTATGGTTAGCTTGTAGAGGAGGCGTTGATAGGTAATAGAGATTGACCCCAGTGTTGCATGTTGATCAAGCAGAGAAATGTATATGGAATCCAAACAACAAGCATCCTCACGTAGGCCTTCTGGCACACACTGAACGGCTTACCAACGTGCGGATATAAAGCACAATTTGCTTACCAGTACATTCGCCAGCGACATAAAAAAAGTTGGAGAAACGGAATGGGCCAGTTGCTATGGAAACTTATTTTGAAAGAATTAAAAAAAAATAAAAGAATAGGGACATTGAGCTATTCATTTTAATTTTGACGATAGTGAATCTGATGAGGCAGAATTAATGACATGGAACAATGAACATTACTTTTCAAAATGTTTGCCTTATTTTGTGTATCCTTTTGCGACAATAGGCGTTTTCGGAATCCTACCATAGATAACAAATCCAGAGTACTGGCTTGCTTTACCCTATGGATCACTGAACTTATACCGACAGTTTACGAACAAGTCCGATTATTGTTTCTGTTTATCTACGTCTGACAATCTTTGACTTTTCCCGCGTAACTGTCACTATTACAAACCCTTATTTGTTAAAGAACCATTTTAATTAAACATATTTGTAGTCTGACTAATAAAGTCGCAATATAAGTATAAAGATTACAAGTTATAACTAAATGAATGTAAAAAAAACTTCAAAGCTAATACTGGCATATACCAAACACCAATAAATTGTGTTATATCCCCCTATAAAATGCTCCGGTACGCATGCGGATCTATTAATAATTACTCGCAAAATGGATCACAAAACATTAATCTCGATCACAAAGCTGGATCAGTAATCTACTAGTTTCCGAACACGGATAGTGGGGTCTATTCTGTAACAATTCCTTTATTTAACGGCCTTTAAAAATATTGGCGGCCTTAAAAATATTTTCGTATTCGTTAATTTATTTCTGTCATTATTTAAACAGATTTCTTTTAGATAGTCCTCTAATGTATTTTAAAGATCCGTTTAAATAATGACATAAGTAAAGAAGAAAATATTTTTAAAGGCCGTTAAATATAAAGGAGTTGTTACAGAATAGACCCCAGTATTAGTAACCACAGGTAAACGAACAATAGGATCGATAATTTTTCTGATCCAAGTAAGTTTCCGAAAACGCCTAATGTACAGAGTATGTTCTAATATATTCAGTTCTGCTATGGATTGTAAGCAGATTGTTCTTTTTATTGCGTTAACATCCTTTATGCCATGTAAAATATACCAAATTGTTTTTTAACTGTTCCTTATTGTTATAATTTTAATAAATAATTACTAAAAATTAATATTCATATTTGTTTGATTTTATTGGATATCTATTTATAAAAAAAGTTTAAATGCTAAGCATTGCATGAGTCTCTTATTCCGGATAATTTGTTCTTTTGCAAAATCGGCGATATTTCTAAAAATAATAATGACCATCAATGTATTTAAAGTGTAAACAAAGCATATATGCAAAAATTAAAAATCATTTAGTTTTCTATCACTGTCAAGTTTTCTTATTCATCACCAACAGCTCAGCAAAAATGTAACTCAATTTAACTTTTTATATAATAATAATAGGACTTTATTCATCACTTAAAAAGGAAAATATACAATAACAATAATTTATGCGCGGAAAAACATTTAAAAATCATGAAAAGGCGAAGTTCAGTTTTCACTGTTTTTCCGCTTAACCTAACAAAAAAAAATACATATTTAAATCGTAGAAGAGATAAAAAACAGGTTATTTATATATTTTTTTTTAACTAAATTAATTTATAAATTCAATTCATCAATATTCATATCCTACAAGTTGCCATGAATTTGTTGTTAATAATTGTATTACCTTGCCCAAGTTTGTTATATTCTTTGGATGCTACATAAGAAAAGGATCTTTTAAAAAATGCTTTGTTATATTCTTTGGATGCTACATAAGAAAAGGATCTTTTAAAAAATGCTGTTTGATGTTTAGGTATGACTAAGGTATTTCTGTAACGCGTAGATAATGTATTTATATTTGAAAACGTTATTAACTTTTTGAACCTTTAATGTCTTATGAACTAATGTTAATAAGTGAGGTGTCCCGTAGTTATTTAAAGATTACCACCCTGATTCGATCACTGTGTGAAATATGATCAAATTTTCTTATCCCATATGCGAAACGCAAGCAACAGTTCTGAATTTTTTGTATACGTAGAGAGTATCGAAGTAGCGCAGGTGTAACAACCAACTAGCCTAAAGACCATTTGTAACTGCTGATAGGTCTTTAGATACTGTTGTTAATATACTATTAAGGGCAGCGCCGTCACCAGCCAAAGGGTCCTGTAGTCCAGAAGGAACATCCATTCACCAGTGGCAAATAAAAGAATAAAAAGTATCCCTTAATAGCATAGTCGAGCGGTTCTTGGCAACTAATTTTAGACTCTTTTAGTCCTAAGGGAATAGAAACGCCGAGGCTTCTCAAATGCTCGGAGTATTTTACTGGTTTGGAAAGAGAGGAGAGATTAATAATAAGTATTAAAACATTAACAAATGTATATTAACAATAAGTATAAAATTTGACTAATAGTCTTAAGAAAAAATGAATAAAATTCCATTTAGGGAATAAAGCACTATAACTACATAATAATATAAAAATATGCATAATATAAATATGATAAATCGGGATGAAAATGTAAAATTGGCATTTATATGTAAATCAATCTATTATTAAACAAAACACTTTAAAATTAAGTTAAAAATATTTACCCATAATTTACAAATCGTACACAAAACTTTACACATCACATTGTTTTGGGACCTTAAGAGACCTTAGTCCGCCCTCGACTGGGAAAGTTTACCTGGTTGTATTTTTTAAAAATGTCACGCTCAATGTAGCCATTGACTAGATTAATGACCTGATTGTTTTATTTTCATATGTGTCTTCCTTTTTAATTTAAAACAAAATACTTATTTAGAATTTTTGGTAAATTCTTTATATTTTTCAAATAATAATAATGCCAATTATTACACAGGTCCGTGAATAGAATCACAATAAAATATCTTTGAAAAAATAAGAGATTTACAAAGTTTTAACTTAGTGTATGTGGAAAGTAAGTCTCGGCTAGGAAATAGTTGTATCAAAACAGTAAAACAACTTTGCAACAATGAATTTACGTGCTTTTTAAATTGAAGCTCGGAATCAATCTACAGACTAAATTTTTGGCTTCATTTGCAAACTGAAGAACATTGCCACCAATTGCAATCTGTAATTGACATACAGTTGATTTTATATTTTTTTGCACCAAATAGCATTGTTGTACATTTAGACTTACTTATTTTTAAGTTGTGAGCAGTAGATATATTAAATAATGAATTCCAAATCTTTATTAAGATGAAGACTTGAGTTACCCAGCGACTCGTCAAAAGATCGATAAAGCATAGTGGTGAATGGCACAATTTGGAACAAAGCTTTGGAAGTCAGAAATGTACAGAGTAATTAGGAATGGTCCCAAAATTGAACCCTGTGGCACCCCTTGTATTACTGGTAGGAAATTTGATATGTTGCCATCCAAAATTACTTTATGAGTGCGATTACTAAGATAATTGGATAATGAGGGAGACTTACATTTCTTACAGAGTAAGTCATGATCTAGGGTATCAAATGCCTTGCTGTAGTCGAGAAGAACCAAGCATATTATTTTCCCTTGATCGGTTGCTTTAAAAATATCATCCCTAATCGACAGAAGAGCTGTAGTAGTGTGTGATGGCGTGTAAAACCTGACTGATGTTAAATTATAATGTTTCGTTGATAAACATACCTAGTAATTTGATCTTGATAATTATTTCAAATAATTTTGATAAAGTGGGTAGAAGGCTGATTGGTCTTAAATCAGAAAAATTCATTGCCTGATTACACTTGGCAATAGGAACGATAAGGGCTTGTTTCCATGCAAAAGGATATTGGGAGGAGATTATATAATTAAATATGAATGTTATATGATTAAGTAAACAGTCCTGAACTAGATGAAGCATACGCAATGAGATATTGTCTAGGCCTACGGCATTGCTTTTAATTCGATTAAGTGATTTTTCGACTGTCTGACGTAACGATTTCAAATTGAAATAAGTTGTGTGATTCTATTTCAGTGTACCGACCTAGTAGTGTTAATTGATCAGGGGAATTATGTCATAGGTGCAGTTAAAATGTTTATTTACATCATTCACATTTTTTAGATTGTCAGGAATATCTGGGCTCGTTTTTTCCGAAGGATTTCTAAAGATCTAAGAGTATTCCAGGTGTTTTTTAAATTTTTTTGTCTAAGGACGAATTTAATATCCTCCAATTCACCCTTAATAAAGTCAACAAGAGAAGATGCAGGAGAGCG